CACCGGAAGCTCGGTGCACGTCGAAAACGAGGCATTTTCCAATCGCAACTCCGTTGGTCCCGCAGAGAAACTCGGTTACTTATTTCCAAACTGTTGAACTCGCTCCGGACTTAGCCCAACTTCCCTATGCGGTAGACGTTCGTTTTCGATTCGAACGAGCACGAGACCTTTCTATCAAGGATCTCGCGACGACGTTCCCGGACAAGGTATAACTACTTCCGCCGAGTTGCGGACGGGCCGGAATGCGCATCGAGGCGGACGTTCGACGCTCACCGACCTCTGCCGCCCCGTGCTCTTTCAGCCGCGCGCAAAACGGCCCGCTGCAACCTCCGATCTCCACGATTCACGCGCGAACAACCTTCCCTCCCAAGTTTGCTTTCTCCTTTGACTCGCGTTTTCTCCGCGACCAATGCCGTTGCGACGTTCGCTAACGGGCCAAGTGCTTTCGCCATCGTTGCCATCGCGATCGCTGCCATTCTAACGATCGTCAGGCGACTAACGCCGTTGCTAGGATGGATCGACGTCGTGAGAAATGCTATTGCATCGGCTACTTACTATCGCCTCCATTACCACTGCGTCGACCACCCTCGCTACAAGTACCGTCGCGACGACTACCATTGCTTCAATTGCCATCGCGTTGGCTACCGTCGCGGCGACCACTATCGTTTCAACTACTGTCTCGTCGACTACCACCGCGTCGATTACCATCGCTCCAACTACCATCGCGTTGATTACCATAGCTTCAACTACCATCGCCACGATTACCATCGCTCCAACTATCATCGCCACAATTACCATCGCTCCAACTACCATCGCCACGATTACCATCGCTCCAACTATTATCGCCACGATTACCATCGCTCCAACTATCATCGCCACGATTACCATCGCTCCAACTATCATCGCCACGATTACCATCGCTCCAACTATCATCGCCACGATTACCATCGCTCTAACTACTCAGCGCGTCGATTACAATAGCGACAATTACTATCGCTTCAACTGCCATATCGCATCGACTACTACTGCGTTGACTACTATCGCTCCAACTACCATGGCGACGACCACAATTACCATCGCGTGGACTACTGTCGCGTTGGTTACCATCGCGTCGGCTACCATAGCGACGACCACCATCGTTTCAACTACTGTCTCGCCGACTACCATCACGTTAATTACCATCGCATCGATTACCATCGCCGTGACCACCATCGTTTCAATTACTGTCCCGTCAACTACCATCGCTCCAACTACCATAGCGACGATTACTTTCGCTTCAACTACCATAGCATCGACTACTACTGCGTTGACTACTATCGCTCCAACTACCATGGCGACGACCACCATTGCTTCAATTACCATCACATCCACTACTACTGCATCGATTGCTATCGCATCCACTACTACTGCGTCGATTACTATCGCTCCAACTACCATTGCGTGAAATATCATCGCGTCGACTGTCACAACGACGAATGCCATCAAGACAACCACTATCGCGACCACCACCCCAAAAATACGTGTTCTCTGAGAACCGGAAATAACCGCGCAATTCTTCACCCTAGCATCGAAGAACCGACGATCCAGCCGCAATTTCCAGAAGCCACGTTTTCGCATCGACGAGCGGCTTATTAAGCTTCATTTGCGATTTACTTTGCGAGACGAATAACTCAACCCACCTTTCTCTCTTCAACGAGATGGCGAAAACGCCATGTAACGAGCCACGACGTTCGGAGGTTTCGCGACGCGGAACGCGAGTCCTCCCACCGGTTTATTATTAATAACGAACGAGCGACGTAACCGGCGTAATTCCAGCCAGCTCGTCCCCGATTTTCTTGTTGGACCCTGACCAAAAGGGAACGCAGAGGGATGGTGAATTATTAGAGCGTTTACCGGAGTACGTGCTTTTCGCCGGTTTCGGTAAGAAGATATTCCGTGCCCCGACGTTACGTTCAACGCTTTTCCGCCACCAACCACCAGCGTCCTTCTTTGCACGCTCGTGAAATTGCGACCGGAAGTTGTCTTTTTTATCGGCACGCCTCAACAATTTCCCGCTCGTTCGAGGATTCAGAATATCTTCGAATTGTCCTCGCAGAATTCGCGATAAATAGTTTCGAAAGGTTCTATGATTCCACAACGAGGAAAGAAGAAAACGCTTTGAATACGATTTACCTTACTTCTTGGAACACGATTCGTTTCGAACGAGCTTTTACCTCAACGCGGACAACGAATTTTGAATTATTCGCGAAGTTGTACTTCTCCGTGTGAAAAATTATTTTCCGGAGCTAATTTAACGATGTTCAGTAGTACATGCTCGCCATAATTAGAAGGCAAAACCTGTTCCTATACCGCGAAATTTTACACGCGCGTGTTACTCGAATTATTACGGAAATTATTTTCAAAATTTCGCGATTTTTCGTTTTCACCTGGAATCTCGTTCCCGAATCTCGAACGGCAACGAACAAACGGTGTTAAATTCCTTTGTTACCTAGATCCGTGACAACTCCGGATCGTGGCTTTGATTAATTTCGAGTATATATCGGCAGTCTTTTGTGCGATCGTTGCTATTTGTTTCCGCGCGTTCTGCAAATAATTCCATAGAACATATTCGGGCTTCGCGACTTCTACACTTTCCCTGCCTAATTCATCGCGAACTCCTCCAGCCGAGATATACGTCGCTTATAACAACCGACGCACGATCGTTGATTTATTAATCCCCTATAACTCTACCAAATAGCTTCCGCAAATTTTCTCTTCATAGTCCGCGTCGTTGTTTCCATCGAATACAAAATTCCGACCAATCATCCTATACTAATCCACATTAATCTTCGCGGTCCGTGAGAGATCGACGATCCCGTGGTTGCGTGGAAAAACGCAAACCTCGATATTTGATCGATTACTATGAAAAAGGGAATCAAAACTCCAAACTTTAAACGTCAGCATCTTAAAAAAGAAAAAAAAAATAATATCCACTTCGACACTCGCTTACATATCATTTCTCACGACGATTGTCTCAAAAATCTCGAAAAGATACAAAAATTCCACGAATTACCGTAATTAATCCTTTGCACTAGATGATTTTTTGGCTAGAGAAGAATAGAAAATCGAAGATTCTCTACTAAAAAACTGACAATACCTTTTTGAGCAGTAAATAAAGAATTGCATAATAATAGCATTGTAGAATTAATTGACTTCGATACTTCGCATACTGTTACATTACATTAAATTTGATATATTAACCACTTGCACTGGAAAAACGTGTCACGCACGTCGTAATGTTTTTGTCGCAGAATCGCTAACGACGTGATATACACGTCGTCAGGCAATTGTCACAGAAACACTAGACCATTCTGGCACACGCGTCTGTGAGTTTATTGGTAGCGCAAGTGGTTAATATTAACCCATTTGCATCCAAGCGCGGAATATTCCGCGAGCCACGACAGTCGCCTATCACCGAGCGCGGAATATTCCGCGAGCTACGACTGTGGCCTATCACCGAGCGCGGAATAATCCGCGAGCTGATTTTTTTCCATTACCAGTTGCTGAATATTCTTCATAATTTCACGAATTATCGTAATTAACAGATGCAAATGCGTGTTGCAAAAGGGCCTGGCGCGAGAGATCGTTCAGATTTCACGGACGAGTAGGACGTTACCCGGTGATTTGGACGGGATCGAGGCTACGGGCAAGATTGAATTCCAGGGTCGGGATAAGTGAAAAAAGGAAGAACACGAGCGGAGTGTCTCGACAGGACTTGGCGACTCGAAATTGAACGGCGAATCGTGCGTTTATCGCGCCCTAACGGACCCGACCCTAACCGGAGATCCTTCCCTCCGGAAGCGCTAGGTACCCTACACCTATCGTCCTGCAGGATCTTGATAAGAAGAAACCGAACGCGAAGAGACAAAAATGTCTGCCATGTCCCAACGCGATTTTTCTTCCCGGGCTCATATCTCGCGTTTGAGGCGTTCGTGCGAATACCGATTAGGTGACGCCGGAAGCACTCTGTTTAGAGTGAAGAATTCCTTTGAGTGACGTCTCGTGATAGGTTCTTAGTTAGTTCATGGATTTGGAAGATGTTACTAATGTGCTTTCGAATTCTTGAACGAATTGAAGCTTCGTTTCCGAAAAAGAATTTATTTCTCGTCATGTTCTTCTTTTGGGGTATTCAAAGGGTATCTAGGAATATCTAGGGTTGGTGACAGAGTCTGGAGATATATATAGCGATACAATTCGTGGTCGCTTGAGACGAGGAAACTGAGATTACAAGAACCAAACTCGTAGATGAATTTATTGAAATTTAGAGAAAATTTGCTCAACCCTTGTGTTTAACCCTTGTCATTGCGGTCGTACGTCACGTGGGGGTTGACAAGGCGAAAATTTTTTGTATATTTATCGAAGTTGACGACAACCTAGAGAGAATCATTTATGAAAAGCTAGCATCCGATTAGGGTTAAAACGTGGTAATCATTTTGAAGAAATCGTTGAAATTATCTAGCTCGCCTAATGCATCGAAAGATACTGCTACAATCATCGAAATTTCTCCTACAAACTCTTTC